TCCTCCTCCCCCTCCCTCCTCTTCTTCCCCTCCCCCTCCTCCCCTCCTTCTCTCCTCTCCCTCCTCCTCTTTCTTCCTCTCCTCCTCATTATTTATTTATTTATTTTGAGAGAGAGAGAGAGCAGAGGAGGGGCAGAGAAAGAGGGAGAGACAGAATCCCAAGCAGAGCCCGATGGGGGCTTGATGTCATGAACCGTGAGATCATGACCTGAGCCCAAATCAAGAGTCCAACGCTTAACTGAGCCACCCTGGCCCCCGCACCTCCTTGTTTTCATCATGATGATAAGACAAGGCTAAGTTTTGACTCCCAGTTTTCCTGATATGTGACTCCTTGTAAATCAACAGCTATTAAGAACTTTCTAGGTGCTCAGTTCTTTGGTCGGTCCTGCTGGGGAGAGCTAAATACAGACACGATTTTGGGGCACAGCAGAAACTCTGGAGACCGGAATAGTAAGGAGTGACACAGAGAGTGTAGAATTGTGCGCCATAACCTAAGAAGCGGCTGTCACAGGAGGGACGGGTCCACGGGGGCTGGGGCAGATTCTCAGCATCAGGGACTGAAGAAAAAAGCCAGAGATCACCAAGTGCAGCTCCCTTATCTTATAGGTGAGGAAACTGAGGCCCAGAGACGCCCAGAAGGGCCTGGTGACTGGCCTGAGGTCACACAGTAACTTGGTGATAAAGGTAGAACTTGAGTATAATTGTCTGGATATTAGACTACGATGCCGGTTAAACTAATAATGGAGATCATGGTCAACATGTACGGAACACGCCCTGTGTGTCATCCCTCATGCAAAGCACTTTATTTGAATCGCTTTACGTGACTCTTCTGTGACTGCCCGTGCTTATGGACACAAGCCTGCTTTCCTGAGCAGGAGCCTGGCCGGCTGACCCCAGCCAGCCTGTGTGGGCGAATCTCCCTTCACTCCAACCTCTGCAGTCTTCACTTGTGTCAGCTGTCTCTGAGCGTTTCCTTGCACACCCTCCTTCTTCCCCACATGCCCCTTCGTCCCGGTTTACTCTCCTTTTTCAGCCACTGCCACCTGGGGTTGGGATTCTCCTTGGAAGCCTGTCTCCCAGGACTTGGCACTCGGTCCCAAAGGATGTGTGGGGACGCTCGCAGGAGGGTGAGTGAATGGTGCCTCCATACCGAGTGGGAAGGGGAGAGCCGAGGGCATGGGTGGGAGCCTACGGGGCCCCTGGGAGCTCGGTGGAGCACCCATTGTTCCCTGTTCATCATCTGCTGCTCCCCAGGTTTATTGAGCAGCATTGGCCGCGGGCCGGCAGGTGGGGCAGAGGGGCAATGGCACGAATGAGTATAAAGCAACGTAGAGAGCGTGAAGAACCCTGGGGGAGGCGCACTGGGCGTGAGACATGACGGTTATTCCCACCCATGACCATCAGGGATGGTTTCCCATGGGATCCCTTCTGGGTCTGGAAGGCAGGGAGGTTGAATATGTGCAGAGATGGTGGGAAAAGGAATCCGTGCCCAGGGGGTTATGAGAGCGTGTGTAAGGTGAGAGAGAAGTTGAGAGGCAAGAAGGAAGACCGGGGGGCCGCCTTAAGTGTGAATAGACAGAGGGCATCTGTGGGGTGGGGGTGGTAACAGGGACCTCTAACCCTTACCGAGCACCTGCGACACGCCAGACTCGCTTCTGAGAGCTTTCAGTGCCGCGACTCGTGTTTTCCAACGCAACATCACCCCACTTTACCACTGAGGAGACTGGGACACAGAGACGTGAAGTACCAGCCTAAGGTCACACAGCCCGGAAGCAGTAGCTCGGGAGTCAAATCTGCCAGGCCGGGTTTTGGCCTGTTTCACTCGGCTGCCTCTTGAGCGGACTGGAAGGGAACGGAGAGCGGGGGGCGAAGGGGAAAAAGGAACCCTGTGTCGAGGAACTTTGACCAATTCTCAGATGGCCAGCGGATCTTCTCATCCACAAAACGCCTGGCCTGTCGTTGGAACCACGAGCTCACCTGTGTCCCTGAGGGGACGCTCCCAGCTTGCAGCCCTGGAATAAGTCAGGTGGGGTCTCCAGGGCCCGTGGGGCAGGGATGCCTGCAAGATTCTTCTGGGTCTCAGAGATCTTCCAGAAATGCAGTATCTGATGTAGCAACAGCCTTTTCCTCCCCCTGGTCATCCCTAGGCCCCTGTGTGTCTCCTTTTGTTTATGATTACTGAAGGCATTTGCATGAAAACAGGGTTTTCTTAGTCTTCTGAGGGTTCCGCTTCCTGCTGCCAGTTCTTACCTGAAGCCATAATTCTCCATTTGTGGCTCAATAACCATCTCCCGGGGGCTAATTATGGGCCATATGCTCCTGGGGCTGGTGTGCTGGAAAGGCAGACTGGCATGCTCGGTGTGTCCGTCTCCTGTACTTCTCTCTCTTTTGGACTTGCTGGCTCAAACCTGTCCTCCACAGCGTGTCCCCAGGGCCCCTCGAGACTGTCTTCTTCCTCAGGTGGTGTTCCGTTTTGCAGACGACCCCGGCTGGGCTTAACTGGGCCTTCACTAGTCTGCCTGCCAGCATCTCAGTGTTGACCAGTTGGCAGAAAATCAACAGAAGGGCAGATGACGTCTGCTGTCTAAACCCCCTCCAGGTCGGGTGATGAAGTGGAAAGAGCTCTGGCCTGGGATCAGGGGACGTGGAGAGCTCCCGGCTTTGTTGGGAAATTGCTGTTATGACTTTGGAGAAATCTCTTTACCTCTCTGGTTCTTCGTTTTTTCCTTATGTAAAGGAGTGATTTTGGTTCGATCAGTGGTTTCTAACCTGATTCCTAGGTGTCTGAAAAGATAGTGATGGGCGCAGGGGGGCCTTGAAAACAGCTTTGAACTCCCTCTAACCACTAGCTCCTAGAGAGAAGGGATCACTGCCTATTCACTGAGTCTCCGTTATCTAGGACACTGGCACAGAAGGTGCGGACAATGAATGTTTGTTGGAATATGAAGGCCTTTCAGAAAGCCCAACAAAAATTGTCCTTTGGTGCTGACAAACCTGGGCAGGCTAACAGAAACCTTGGACTCTTTAATGACTAGCATGACGTTAAAGATGAACTACTCATTTTTTTTTTTTTTTTTTTTTGTCTCTGCATAACTGCCTCTAACTTAAGCAGGGAAGGAATCTGTGGGAGCCAAGGCATCTGAGAACACAGGTGATTTCAGCGGTCAAGGTGGGAGGTGCGATCGGTCCAGCTGAGGTGATGTGACTGCCCAACTGTCTGCTGGGAATGGACACTATCTAGCTCTCTTAGGCTTCCATGGACTTTGTCCCCACCAAGACTATCACAGACTTGGGGATTTCTCCAAAAACAGGAAGGAAATTTGGATTCCAGGCAGCCAAAACATGACAAAGGACCACTGTGCCTGTAACCCTGGTCCTGTCGCAGTTAACTGGATCTCTGCTCCGTAGCCGGTGGGTGGCTTTGACGAAGGGAATGAGAAGACAAACTTATGTCTGCATTTTGATGTAGAAAAATGTCTGTGTGCCCGCAGTCTATGTGAAAGAAATTATAGCGGGATGCTTGTGGATGAAGATGGGCTTATCTCTCGTCTACAAAGCTGGGGTTTTCCACCAAGGTAAGTAAAGACATTCCCCTGTTGAGACACAGACACAGGTGCTAAGGGAGACTCACCTTTTCTGTATCTCTAGTTGTTCTGGGGGAGCTCCAGGGACCAGTCTTGTCTGGCTCCCCATCTCGCCGGGCCGCATGGTCCCAAACTGGTTTACTTCACTGGGATTTTGTGAGCTCAAGTGAGATCCTGGGTTCGAACGTTATCGCTAACCTTAAATGTGCTCATGTTGCCCATAACAGTCCACAACAATGCCAGTGATCACCAGTATCTGTCTTGGTGTTTATCTGGACAGTGTGGGTTGGCAGCTGTCCACGAGGAAACACCTTCCCTTTTCCTTCTTCTCGCTGGCGTTCTTTGTGTTCCTTTGATCTGTGCAGTGGACATACGTCATTTACAGCTGCCCGATACCTTTTGGATAGTCTCGCTACCTCTTAATTATTTTGAACATTATGACTTCCGCCTGTGCATGGAAGAACCCAGAAAATTTGCGTCCCGAGGATTGCTTTGAGCCAGGGTAATGGCAGAGGACCTAGGCCCCTGTAGTTAGGTGAACTTCTCTGGGACTTGGAATCAGAAATATGAGGTCCTTGTCCAGAAAGTGTGGAGCTATTTGGTTGTTTGGGGGCAGCAGTGGTGGAATTTCTGGCTGCTAGTTGTGGTCGTGGTAACTGCTACATAGTGATGTTTGTTAGAGAATCCTCACAGGGGTGTTTGGACTCGGCAGAGTCAGATTCCATTTTTACTCTTCTCAAAGATATTCTGAGTTATTGGGTACGTTTCATATGTTCCTTTCCTGCTTACATTAGGCAGGCTGTTTGCAGCTAAAAATCCTTCCCAGTGTTGGAATTGCATGTGGAGTGGGTTCCAAAAGTTGCAGAACCTATGCTGTGTATAGAAGGGGCTTAGCGGAGGGTGGTCAGGCATCAGGAGGCAAGGATTCACCCAAGGTCAGCTAGAGACAGGATGGCCTCGTGTTCCTGTTGGCAAACCCACATCAGCTGCGCCCTACACGGCCAACCTTTGCCAGCTCATCCTTGGGACACTGACCTCTGCCAGTGGAAGCGGCAGGGTTAAGGGCAGTAGTTTGGGCGTCTCCTTTGTCGCTTTGACTCCTGCTGATACCCTTGCCCTCAGGGTCTGTGCTTCTACCCCTTCATGGAGGCTAGTTGTGAGATCAATAATGATTTTACCTTTTCACAAGTAGATGTTACAGTGTTTGAAAATGTATGGAAAGGTAAAGACTAATGGTGGAGACAAGTGACAGAGGGAGGCATAAAGATGGAGAGAGAGAGAGAGAGGGAGAGAGAGAATGACAAATAAGAAAGAGAGGGAGAGACAAAGACGCAAAAAGTGAGAGAGATGGGAAAAGGGCCCTATGTCAGGAATAGTCCCTGGTGAGTTAGCTTCTGTGGTAACCAGCCTCTGTGACGGCCTCAATGAGCCCGTTTCTGGTTTTTCACTCCCCATGTAGTTCTTTTTCACGTTGTATCGGGCTGGCCTGTGTGACAAATAGAGGATGGTGGAGGTCACAGCGGTGATTCCCAAGGCTAGGTCATAGAATACATTGTCGCTTCTGCCTTGGCCTCTTGGATGGTTCTCTCTGCAGGAAGCCAGCCGCCATGTTGGAAGGACACTAACACGGCTCCGTGGAGAGCCCGCATGAAGAGAAACCAACTTGGCAGTTGCGACTTGCTGGCCCCGGGAGCGAGCCTCCTGGGAAGTGAGTCTTGTGGCCTCAGTCCATCACTGAGATGGCTGGACACCAGCTGGTACCTGGCAGCAATCACCTGAGAGAGCCTGAGCCGGAGGCGCCCCACCAGGCCGCGCTTGCTCCTTGATCTGAAGAGCTGAGGGAGCTAATGAGTGATTACTGTTGTTTTGAGCCATTGAATGTCAGGTTATTTGCCACGCAGCACTAGATACTCAATATAGTTCCCTTGCTGCCCCTCCTTTTGGTAAAAATGCTCTGGAGTCTGAGGTAGGGGCAGACAATGGACGTGTTCGGGAACCTCTCATCTTCTTCCATGGGTGTTATTGTTCTGCTTCGTAGACTCACTCATTCGTCACTTAGTAGAAATTCCTCTTGGGCTCTGGTAGATAACGGAACATTATTTCTGTTTCTCAGTATTATTGCACCTTTAATTCTCCTGGGTCTATTTTTGTAAGCATTTCAATGGGAAGGTAGGTAAGGATGAATCCCAAGCTGTTATCTTGCTGTTCTCTTAGACAGGGAATCAAAAATCTATAACTGCTTCTACAGTTTTGCTTTTGCATTCCATCACTGCACATTTTTGAGCACATATTTCCAAACCATTTTTTCTTGCTTGTTTCTTCATTTATTTATTAGTCACATGTACCACTGGATTGTTTTATCATATGTTAGAAAGCCTACGTAAAATATGCATTTAGAAAGTATGAGAGAAAAATACATAGAAATTCTAGTATTTTCTTTTTTCTGCTTAGATGGTTGTCTTGGGCACCGCTGGTCAATGTGTCCCTTCTCCCACTTTGGACACCACTGGTCTCCCATACGGTTAGCTTTTTATGTTCATGTGTTGCCTGTATGTTATTTAAGGGAAGAGGTTTTACTTTATTTATCTTTTCCAAGATTATAGGGTTCCTGCTTCATTCAGGCTTCTTTTTAAAAAATTTTTTAAACATTTTTATTTATTTTTGAGAGACAGAGTGTGAGCGGGGGTGGGGCAGAGAGAGAGGGAGACACAGACTCCGAAGCAGGCTCCAGGCTCTGAGCTGTCAGCCTGGAGCCCGAGGCGGGGCTCGAACTCACGGACCGTGAGATCATGACCTGAGCTGAAGTCGGATGCTCAACTGACTGATCCACCCAGGCGCCCCCATTCATGCTTCTTAAAAGAAAGAATAATAAATGAATGAATGCATGAATGGACGAATACGTAAAGACATGACCGAATCGTGGGATTTAATCTTCTCCAAGTTACAGAGCCCCTCTCTGCCACATTTGCTGAGAACAGCCTCTGTGCTAAGTACACCCTTGGAGGACAAGTCTGGATCTTTCTTTCTTTCTTTCTTTCTTTCTTTCTTTCTTCTTTCTTTTTTTTTTTTAATGTTTTTATTTATTTTTTTGAAGGAGAGTGAGAGAGAGAGAGAGAGCATGAGCAGGGGAGGAGCAGAGAGAGAGAGGGAGACACAGGCTCTGAGCTGTCAGCACAGAACCCGATGCGGGGCTCGAACTCACAAACTGGGAGATCATGACCTGAGCCGAAGTTGGACGCGTAACCGACTGAGCCACCCAGGTGCCCCTGGACTTACTTCTAAGACAAATTGTGTTCTGTTTTCCCTATCCATCCCAACCCATACCGTGCCACATGCAGGCCCCCAAATCACACCCCCGCACACCATAGTTTTCTCCCTTTCCTTCAAGCTGTCTTCCAGGCCCGGCTCTCTGGCAAATAGCCGTCACCAGCGAAGACCTTTCTAGTGAGTACATATGTGGGGGAGGATTTTCCTGGCCCTTAACTAGCTTGCCTCACCAGGACTCAGGCTGTCTGGGTTTCTGTCTTCTAACATTTCCTGGGGCCAAGGAGCTGTGGCCGACACGATAATAACCAGCCCGTCAGGCCTCTTCGTTTGGCTGGGCATCTCTCTTCCGCATCCGTCGGCTTAGATCCTCGTCCCCATTTATGCCTTCCGAGTGACCTAGTGAGTTAGAGTCAATGTTGCTGTTTCCCTGCTGCAGCCCCATTCTGCTCCGCACTGGCTCTTCTGGCCTGGGGTTGTGCAAGCGACTGGGCACGTGGAAGAAGGCGCAAAGGGCCAGCTTCTCTGGGAGCACGCTGGCTTTGTTCTCTCCGTGTGCACGTGCGTGCGCATGCATTCAGAGAGTTACGAGAGGGATGTACTTAGCGGGATTTAGAAAGTCTTAGTTTGAACTCTGATCCCTGGATTCTTTGTTGTTGGGCCTTGGCCAAGACAGCTCATTCGGGACCAATGGATGGGAGTCTTTGGGGACATACCTGGGGACATAGAATCACAATGGAGTCTTGTGCTGGACATGCTCCCGGCCGCCCTGAACTTTTGAATGCTGGGACGATCTCGGTTAGGCCCCCAAATCTCAGTGGTTGGAAACAACAAAATTTGTTTCTCACTAATGTCTCTGTGTCCATCATGGGATATCTGGGGGTCTGCTTCGCTCTGGGACTCAGGCTGCCCTGGGGGCCACCAGCTGCCAGGACAGGGAAGAGAGAGCGCAGACAAATCACACGGTGCCACCGATTTTCACAGATGTTTCAGTCACTTCTGCTCCTGTTTCGACGACCAGAGCAAATCACAGGGGATGGCGGCTTTCCAGGAGGGGCTGAGATGTACCATATTACCACGTGACCAGAAGGGAAAACCGTGAAATATGTGAACAGTGCTCGTGACGGTCCACATCCTTTCCTTCTTCTGGATCCTTTCCTGGTTTCCGAATTCTGCGCTTCTAAGATGGGAGTCAGAAACTCACTGTGGTGGACAGGATAATACTCCACACAAAGATGTCCACGTCTTAATCCCCAGAACCCGTGAGTATGTCCTCAATGACAGAAGAGGCTTTGCAGGCGTGATTAAATTAGGGGGCTTGAGATGGGAAGATTATCTGGGATTATCCCAGTGGGCCTGATGTAACCACAGGGATCCCTATAAGGAAAGAGGGAGGTGGGAGAAGCAGAGTCAGAGACGTGAGGATGAACACAGACGTTGGAGCGGTTGCTGTAAAGAGGCTCGTGGGCCCAGGAGTGCAGGCAGCTGGGTTCTAAAGAAGCTGGAGGAGTGGAGGCTGGGTGGCGGTCGTGGAGCTCTAGAGTGACTATCGCTCGCTCCAGAGAAGTGACACGGGCACATCTCTACAAGAAGGCTGAACGGGGCGGGGGGGGGGGGGTGGGAGGGGATAACATAGTTCACTTTGCTTTTATGGTTGCATGGAATCTTTTCCCTCTTTTGCCCCATTGAAGACATATTTGGATTACTTACCCAACACAGGGTCAACAGCCCCCTCTGGCCTCTGGGGTAATGCCTCCGAGACTTTCCCCGACGTCATGACTTCGGATTCAGAGCATGGCGTCACGAGTTCACCAGAACTGGGCTGCCCCCACCGATGAGTATTTCAGTGTCTTTTGCTACGTGACGCCCAGCGACATACGGCCACGACGTTTATCCCGTGTTCACCGGCCTTCCCGGGGACTGGCTGTACGATGGCCAGGCCGATCTGGGCTGTGCTCTGCTGGAGGTCCTGGTTCAGCCTGCGGGTCGGGCTCAGGTCCGGGTTCTGGGCCAGAGGGACGGCAGCTCCCGCGGGGACGCTCGGGTCACGGTGGATCACCGGAGCACAGAAGCCAGCGCGATGGCAGCCAGGCTCACTTTGTCTCCGCTCCTGTCGTGACAGCGAACACCCCATGGACCAGGGCAGGGCACGCGGTTAAGCTGAAGCCAGGGTGCGGCAAAGAGGGGGATGCAGGGCTGGCGCTGGGGGTGCCAAGAGTTGGCCCTAATTCAACTGTCACAACAGAGAAGGGAGCGTGGGCTCGGGGAAATTCAGGTTATTTTCCTGGATCTCATGGTAAGTCAGTCGTATGGGTTGAGGCCACTCCTCTATTCGTTACCCTACGTTGCCAGCACAGCAGGCTCACGGAAACTTCCGGCAGGTAACCTTCTGTGCACTACCCCCTCATCTTGCCCTGGCCTTGTCTTTCTGTTTCGGGGGCTTGTCTGTTTCCAAACCGCAGCGTGTCACCAGCTCAGCTGTCCGTCCATCCCTCTGGGGGAATGCTCTTTCTCTCTCCGATGAACTCCATACCCCTGGCTCGGATGACGTGTCTCTCTTGGGGCCTTTGTCTACTCCTCTGTAAAGAGGTACATTTGTCTGTCACATGATGAGGGCTGGCAGCGGAATCGCTTTGCTAGCAATTTGCAGGCCGCTCGAGCCCCTCTTCTGTGGCGTGGTGCCCTGCTGGCCCTCAAGTGCTGGGGCGATGGTGCGGCCAGGAACACGGGCCGTGCGTCAGGCACATTCAGAGCAGGGGACTGTCTGTGAGGCAGGGGCCGGTCCTGCTCTGAAGACCCCGGACCGCCCAGACCCGACACGGGGGTCAGCGTGTCATGGGGTGACCCTGTAAGTGGAGGCTGGCGCGGGGCAGGGGGGTCTGGAGGGATCGTGGGGACCGGGTGGCTGAGGGTATTCCTGTCACCAGATGTAGTTCACTTGCATGAGCGTTTCTTGAGCCCGGCAATGTGCCAGCACCTCGGCCGGGAACTGAGCCCTTAGGACACAGGAGAGACAGCTCCTGCCCTCAGGAAGCTTCGGGGCTAGTAGGGGGAGCTGAGGACAATAAATGAACGGTTGCGTTCTTCAAACGTGGCAAGAACCATGCAAACGAGAGAAGAGTTGTTTGAGCGTACTCTAACTTTTTTTTTTTTAAGTTTATTTATTTCGAGAGAGAGAGAGAGAGAGAGCAGGGGAGGGGCAGAGAGAGGGAGAAAGAGAGTCCCAAGCAGGCTCTGCATTATCAGTACAGAGCCCCATGTGGGGCTCTAACTCACGAGCCGTGAGATCTTGACCTGAGCTGAAATCAAGAGTCGGATGCTCAGCCGACTGAGCCCCCTGGGCGCCCCAACAGCTGCATTCTTCAAGCGTGGCAAGAACCGTGCAGACGAGGGCAAGGTTGTCGGGGGTACCCTAAACAGCTTTGGGGCTTGTCTGAAAGGGGTAAGCGATTCTTTACCTGTCTTGCTGCCAATAACGAATCGCTGTGTTGCATGGGAACTCTTATTCCCCGCTCGTCGTGTTTCCGTAGGGGGAAGGGAACTCCTACTTCCCAGGAGGGAAAGATTTGGGAGGAGCACTGCTGGCACCTTCCTCCATACCTACAACCCACTCGTCCCTCCCCAGGAAGGAGAAGTGATGCTGATCCGATTAGTGACCCTGGGGACCTGAGTGGGGTCCAGAGTTCCTGGTGTTGTAGGATCTCTGATGAGAACTGGAGCCTGTTTGAGACCTGAGGTTCAAGGAAGTGAGGGGACTTGGCCTCCTTTGTCCCCTGGGCGTGGCAGGGACCAGAGGCACGGCCGTCGCTCTTGAGGCTGTGTCCGCACAAAGGGAAAGCCTGGTGGCGGGGTCCAGTTAGCGGCTGTGGTACTGACCGCGGCAGAGGTGGGCAAGGAGCAGGCAGAGCGGGGAGGAGCTGAATCAAGGCAAGGCCCCTGGGGTGACGGATGGGAATTCCAGAACTATCCAATGGGACGGGACCTAAGGGAGGAGGGGTAAGTGGTAGGCTCAGGTTCCCGGCTCTGGTGAACGGGTGGGGTGATGCTCGCACCTGTTGGCTCGAGAGGGAGCCGCGATCACTCAGGTTTGGACCTGAAGAAGTCATGACCCTGGATTTGGGTTCTCCTTGAGCGGCCATGCAAACATCTCACCAGGAAATGCTAGAACACGATTTACCAAGGGGGGGGGCGGAACCTTCGGTCTCCTGAATCTCCTGGATTCTCCTGAATCCAGCCCGTCGGTGTTGTTTAACCGATTTTAAAAGCTCCGACTTAGCTGGAGAAAGCACAAAGCGAAAGATTATAACGGAAAAATCTGGATTTCGATGTTTTCTTTAAAAAGAAAAAAGGATCAGGAATCCTTGGGCTCACCTTCTTCGAGAAAAAGAGTTCCTCAGTTTCCTCGAGACGTGTCACTGGCAGGGGCACTTTGCAGTTTACAAAGTGCACCGCTTGTCCTCGCAAAGCGTGTGGTGTGCCCCCCGTCCGCCCCAGCTCGTCTGTCCACACGCTTCTCATCGCCCTCCCTCTGTGGGCAGCGGGGCAGGAGAATCAGGGTCCCGGGGCTGTGAGCAGTTTAGGCTGAGCTCATAGCCGGGAGTGGGGCCTGGCCCCCAGCTCCGGCCCCCCCCCCACCCCCATTCTCAGCTCTAGTCTTAGTTTCCTTTCCATTGCCTTCCATTTGCCAGTCAGTTATAAATAGCTCAAAGAAGATTTTATTTCCAGCTTCCAAGTGACATGTGCTGTCAGCAACACCACAAAACACTTCATTGATGTTTTTAAGGGGGTGGGGGAGAGGAAATAAAATTGCTTATTTGCCCAAAGCAGTGTTCCGCGAACTGAAATCCCTCGACTCCCATGGGACTCTCTGCTTTTCCCGAGTGAATGGATTTTCAAATTTGGAACACAGGTGGCCTTCAGGCTGAATGGCCGCCGTCTGCCTCTCTGATTAATTCAGTCAATGCCGCAGCCCGAGGAGGGTTAGAGGTTGGATCTCCCCTCCCCAGCTCGGGGCCGGGGAAAGCCAGGGGAACAGGCGTGGGGGTGGGGGAGGGGAGGCAGCTCCTAACAGCTTTGGGGGCCTTGTCTGAAGCCGATAGGCAATTGTTTTTCTATCTCGCTGCTTGTCAGGGCGGAGACAGGAGGGAGAAGGCATTTCTTCCCAACAGGAGAGGAAATCACAGCCAAACGTTTGCAATCACAGAGCCAAAGGCTTGTGTCAGACATCGGGGTGAGACTGGGGTGCCTTTCAATGAGATCATGGCCAGGAATAGACAGGAACAGTGGAAGGACGGCCGGGCGCAGCCCAGAAGACGGAAGGGACAAGAACCTGTCCCTGTTAGCTGAGCCTTCGACACAAAGCCCGGTGCGGAGGGCTGGTAAATGAAGAGATTGTTCAGGCCATCTTAATGGTCTAAGAAGCTTCCTTACCCCGAGCTACTAGAAACAGCCTAGAGTAGCCCGAGCTACGAAAACAGCTGTTTCAAGTACGCAGCAGTCTCTGAGCTGCTTCTCCACTACCCTTTGAAATGAAAATCATTGTTATGCGCCTGTTGGGTGGACAGAGCAAACTGGATGTGCGAGGCTAAGCCACGTGGGGAGGCCACACAGCAAGTGCTAGAAGGCTGAACCTGGCAGTCTGGCTCTGGAGCCCTTAACACGTTGCCTTATTGCCTCCGTGAGCAAAGCAGAACAGAGAGAGCATCGCCCCTGGAGAAAAAGGAAGCAGGGAGATAGAGGGGGAGACAGAGAGAAAGAGAGAGACAGAGGCAGAGAGGCTGTCTGCACAGTACCTAGCTCTGAGTGGGCTCAGGGCACCTGACTAAGGAAGAGAAATCCTCAAGGGAGAGGAAGGGACGATGAGGCCAAGCTCAGGGTCCGCCTTAGCTCCTGTCCTTCTGGACTCTCAGAAGGTGGAGGAAGGAGAGGTTTTCTGTCCCGACTCTGGAATCTTCGCTGGCAAGTTTGGCCCATTGTCCTGGCATTAGCCAACCAGATCAGCCTTTCTCCCCCTTGGAGAAGGGGGACAGGGCAGGAGCAGAGACAGACCTGGAAGGTAGCACAGAGACACTGTTTCTAGTCCTGGGCCTGCCCTCACCCCGTCCGTGAGACATCCTTCGTGTTAAGCCAGGGTAGGGAAGGGAAGGAATGACAGCGACTTCACCTCGCTCATTCGCCCGATGTTGTGCAGGCACTTCTGTGGGCTCGGCTCCTTCACTCCCGACGTGGGGCTCGAACTCACGAACTGCGAGACCATGACCTGAGCCGAAGTCAGACGCTCCACGGAGCCACCTGGGGGCCCAGGGGCCCCTAGAGTGGTGTTTATATACTGGTTTGTTTGTATCCTCCACACTGGGATATGAGCTCCGAGCTCGTATTATTTGTCTTATCCCCGGCTGTGTCCCACTGAGTGCCTACTGCTCCCGGGCGTTCAGGAAAGCTCTGGAACGCGTGCGTGAAGTAATTGCCCGACACGGGGCGCCGTCACTGGAACCTGGGCCTGTGTGCCTGCACAGAGAGTAATGAGCTGCCTGGACTGATCCCTGTGCGTTCATGACGGTGAGCCGGCCGGATGCAGGTCTGGAGGGCTTCGTGGAGGCGACCGCCAGCACATCGGGAGCCGGCAGGGCGGGGGCAGAAGTCGGTGACCTGTCTCATTCAGTTCAACTCGGTGTGCACCTCGTGGGCTCTGACCGTGTGCTCGGCCCTGCCGGTGCTGTCCGAATCACACCGAAGAAACACAAGTCAGGGGATCGTCCTCGAGGAAACTTCAGATGTGACAAAGCCAGGGGCCATCCCAGTCTCGGCCGCCACAATGTCGTTTGCCTCCTTCCCGTGAGGAAGAAGCGGGCAGACCATGGGCCTTGGAGGCTGCGGTTGTGGGACTCAGGGAGGCAGGTGGCATCGAGGAGGACTCTGTTCTGGGGCTGCTTCTCCTCACCGTGATCCCCGGAGAGGTGTTTTCCTGCTCCGAACATGGCTCCGTAGTTGGAACACGGACCCCATCGCCTCTCGTCCCCCAGGGCTGTCCCGGAGACCAGAGTGCTGACGAATGAGAGAATGCTTTTTCAAGGTCATGCGGGACATGGGCGCGAAGGGCATTATTACTATTTGTGGTGCTGTTGGTATCCATGTATTTGGGGGCCTGGCAACCCTTACTTTTCAGTAACATCCCCCAGACTTTCCTCCAGACAGCAGCCCTCTCGCTCTCAGCTCATGAGGTTTGGGACAGGCTACCTCACCCTCCTGGGGGCAGGAAGAGCCCAGGTCTGGCCAGCTGCCAAATCCTGCTTCTCTGGACTTAGCAGTTAGCTTGGGGGTGAGTGTCGATCCCAAGCCAGTCCGATGAGGTCTTAGGTCTTAAGATGAGCCAGGTCTTAGGATGGAATAGGCAGGAAGAGGGATTTTCTTCCTTCCGTTTTTAAAGTTTATTTATTTAGGGGTTCCCCGGGTGGCTCAGCCCGTCAGGCGTCCGACTTCGGCTCAGGTCATGATCTCACGGTCCGTGAGTTCGAGCCCGGTGTCGGGCTCTGTGCTGACAGCTCGGAGCCTGGAGCCTGCTTCGGAGTCTGTGTCTCCCTCTCTCTCTTTGCCCCTCGCCCACTCGTACTCTGTCTGTCTGCCTCTCTCTCAAAAATACACAAACTTCAAAAAAATTCATAAAGTTTAGTTAATTATTTTGACAGAGACAGACGTCATGAGTGGGGAAGGGGCAGAGAGAGAGAGAGAGAGAGAGAGAGAGATAGGGAGAGAATCCCAAGCAGGCTCCGCACTGTCACCTCAGAGCCCGACACGGGTCTTAAACTCACGAAACCGTGAGATCATGACCTGAGCCGCAGCCAAGAGTCAGATGCTTAACCGGCTGAGCCACCCAGGCGCCCCAGGAAGAGGGGTTTTCTGCTGGGACTCCAAGCCGTGAGGCTCACGTAGGGAGGTGGATAAGGGGTTGGTAAATATGTGTGGACTGTGGCAGCAATCTTGGGTTCTTATTCCAATTTTGCCATTTTGTAGCCGTGTGACTTCGGGTCCAGTGCTTAACTTCTCAGTGCTTCGACTTTGTCATCTATGGAAAGGAGTTAAAATAGCACCCACTTGGTGGTGTCATTGAGAGGTTTAAATGACTAGATGTTTAGACATTATTTAGGATCCCGTCTGGACCAAGGGAGCAGTTAATAGTGTTTGCTAATACCGGCTGTTGGGTTAGACTGGAATTG